GTTTTCCAATCAATCCGACGGCCCCAACTATAAATGGAATTGTTAATGTCCTCATGCGCCACAGTTTTGAGATTTCGATTTCAAGGTCCTTGTATTTTGATAGTTTTATTTTCTTTAAGATCTTCAAAGATACATTGCAAACTGCATGAACTGCCATGTCAATAAGGAGGCACATTTTGTCTTTGCGGTCTCTAATCACGATGTCAGGGCGATTAGCCTTGATTGTCCTGTCTGTGTGTATTATAAAATCCCATACAATTGTTACACGTCCTACCTCTGTAACCGGGACTGGGTGGTATTCATACCATTTGTTATTGTTATTATTACAATAATAATAATGATAATAATAATAATAATAATGCATTGAAACTATTGATCACCTAATCTGAGGATGTTCCGTATATACACCAGAGGAGTAAAAAAGGAAACGTATGAGAGCGTATGTCAGTATCTGCACTGGAAGATCTATCGCTAGTACGGAATAAAAACATCAGCAGACTGATATGAACATCATTCTGAAACTGTAGTTGAGGGAGCACATGTTACCATCCTCTGGGATTTTTCAATCAATACACATCGAAAAATACAAGCAAATCGTCCAGACATTATTATCAGAGACAGAAAGAAAAAAAAGAAGAAAAGATTGCAAACTGATTGATATGATCATACCATGGGACAAAAACATCCCCCCGAATGTTTTTTTTTTTTTTGTTGTTGTTGAAAAACTATGCAAATACAAAAACCTGGAGATAGGAATAGATAAATATGTGACACTTAAAAAAAAAAAAAGATTGTTCTTTTGTTTGGTACATTCGTCTGATGGTCTGATAATGAAAGTAACTCGATAGCGAATCAAAATAATCCCTGGTGTGCCTAACTATCCAGTAAAAAAAAAAATTACTTCTAACAGTACAGCTCATATACTGCAAAGAGCTTTGTTCATTTAATTTTTTTTTAAATAATAGCTGTCTTTCGTTTATTTAAGTCGAAACATCAATAAATCAGTCATTTCGTTTTTCTAAGGTCATTGGATTATAATCGGCATGGGATTATAAAACTAATATAGGTCAAATTTTATTTTTAATGATAATACTTATTGACATACGTGCAATCATGTAATTTAACGTATATATAAAGGGGAACAGATTTTTTTTCAGTAATCTGCTCATTAGATATTTAGAGCAACACTAAAATCAGCCCCATTCTCACCGCCGTAAGGTAGCCTTTTTTTATAAATGCTTTCATGGTATTTAGTTTTATGACGTTTTCTCTATGGTACCTAAACTTTATGATATTTGTCTATATTTCTGAGAGGAGGCATTGTAATTATTTACACTATTTACATCATTCAGACTGCTGTCCTCATCTTCGTTGACATATTCACGACGTTTCGGTCGTTGTACGCTCCGACCTTCGTCAGGATCTGTCTATATAGCTGAAATGGGTTATTTTATTTATTTACACTATTTATATTGTTCAGACTGTTTTAGTCACTTCCCCACTGTTAAAATTTTATGGTAATTCTTCTGATGAACTTTCCTCTAGAATTACTTAGACTTTGTGAATTTAATTTAAGCGCAGTCCTAGATAGGCGGAAATGTTAGTGGCTTTATTGCCTTGATTGGAGTGAAATGATAAAAAGTATTGTTACGATGTTTCGGTCGTTGTACGCTCCGGCCTTCTTCAGGATCTGCCGATATTTCTGAGATGAGGGGAACAGATTTTTTTTCAGTAATCTGCTCATTAGATATTTAGAGCAACACTAAAATCAGCCCCATTCTCACCGCCGTAACGTAACCTTTTTTTTATAAATGCTTTCATGGTATTTAGTTTTATGACGTTTTCTCTATGGTACCTAAACTTTATGATATCTGTCTATATTTCTGAGAGGAGGCATTGTAATTATTTACACTATTTACATCATTCAGACTGCTGTCCTCATCTTCGTTGATCTGCCGATATTTCTGAGATGAGGCACTGTAATTATTTACACTATTTACCTAGTTCAGACTGTTGTCCTCATCTTCGTTGACATATTCACGACATTTCGGCCGTCGTACGCTCCGGCTTTCTTCAGGATCTGTCTATATTGATGAGATGTGGTATTGTAATTATTTACACTATTTACATTGTAGGACTGTTGTCCTCATCTTCGTTGACATATCCACAACGTTTCGGTCGTTGTACGGTCCGGCCTTCGTCAGGAATTCTTTATATAGCTGAGATGAGGTATTTATTTATTTACACTATTTACATTGTTCAGACGGCTGTTCACATCTTCGTTGCCATATTCACGACGTTTCTTCTTCAAGATGTGTTTATATTTCTGCGATGGGGTACTGTAATTAGTTACACTATTTACATTGTTCGAACGGTTGTCTTCATCTTCGTTGCCATATTCACGACATTTCGGCCGTTGTACGCTCTGGCCTTCATCCGGATCTGTCTATATTTCTGAGATGAGGTATTGTAACTATTTACACTATTTACATCGTTCGAACTGTTGTTCTCATTTTCGTTGACATATTCACGACGTTTCGGTCGTTGTAAGCTTCGACCTTCGTCAGGATCTGTCTATATGGCTGAAATGGGTTATTTTATTTATTTACACTATTTATATTGTTCAGACTGTTGTCATTATCGTCGCGACTTTTTAGTCACTTCCCCACTGCTAAAACTTTATGGTAGTTGTTCTGATGAACTTTCCTCTAGAATTACTTAGACTTTATGAATTTAAGCGCAGTCCTAGATAGGCGGAAATGTTTCATCATTTTACACGTGAAATTGTTAGATGTAGTCGTAAGTCCTACGCTAACAGCTTCTTCTATCGGACTTATAGCTTGTAGAACTCTCACCTAGTTTTTATTTGCCAGTCAAATTTGATGTTCAAAAACTTAAATATAGTGCCAATCGATATCTATTGGCTTTTTAATTCCTGTCATTTTATTGTTCGCCCTTCTTAAAATGTTTATTTCTAATATTCTCTGCCACACATTAACACCCTTGCCTCTTAGTGGCTTTATTGCCCTGATTGGAGTGAAATGATAAAAAGTATTGTTATTAAATAATATAACAAAGTATCCTGAACATTTGTATTGTTGATAAAAATAACAATTATATATATTATAACATTTATACATATATATATATATATATATATATATATATATATATATATATATATATGAATTATTCACACAAAACTAATGCAAGGTTAATGATTTAAATGGCGAGACATCCATCTCGCAAACAATTCAAATAGTACACAAAAACCTCCAGATCCGTTATGAATGAATTGATCCTTGTTTATATAAATTTCTGCCGTATTAGTTGTTATTTTTACTACAAGCTTTCGTCTGTTCCTACAGACATCTTCAGGTATATAATAGATGTTGTTCTTGTTTTTTTCTCTTAGTAATAAGAGGACATCGAAAATATATGTGTATTGCATCCGAAATGCTATTGAAAATGAGATATTGGTTTTTGAACGCGCCAAAGCAACGCTGAGTTTGATTTTAAATTTCTTTTTTTAAAGTGTTTGCGTTTATACCAAATATGGTAATGAACAAATTATTTTACTGGTAAATTTTACTGTCAAAGTGGCATGAACTATATTGTTCAATAATTACAGTAATGTCGCACTTATTAACCAAAAGTCGCACATGGATCAGTTATTTAAATTACAATAAACGTGCAATCAATTTACAAATACATGAATTATTCACACAAAACTAATGCAAAGGTTAATGATTTAAATGGCGAGACATCCATCTCGCAAACAATTCAAATAGTACACAAAAACCTCCAGATCCTTTATGAATGAATTGATCCTTGTTTATATAAATTTCTGCCGTATTAGTTGTTATTTTTACTACAAGCTTTCGTCTGTTCCTACAGACATCTTCAGACATATATCGTTGTTGGAATTGTTACCTGATGATCCGGAGTCCTTTAAAAAGGATTTTGGTGAGATAAATTATTGTAATGGTACCTTAAAAGTGGTCTGTTTTTCATTAAATATATATATATATATATATATATATATATATATATATATATATATATATATATATGTAGGTATTATAAAAAATAAACATATATGCACATATACTTGCACGTGCATATAAATACATTTCTTCCTCAGATGTTATGTAACAGCTATTAAGTATATATTAGTGAATTTGCATAATATCCAACGTCGAAAGCACGACTCGGGGTTTCATTCGATCTTGCAATCGTCACAGCCATAAAGACACCCACGGTTATAGATTTGCTGAATAAGTTTGTTTTATTGATGTAACATACTTAGATAAGAAGTGCAGATTATAATGATACGAGGACAGATAACGATTAACACTGGATAAACAGGCTAAGATTGTAGTGATCGCTGAAGCATACAGTCGAAGTTCTGTTCAGTAAAGCACTAGCCCCTGGAAAGAAGATGTCCGAATTGTACATTGGCATATCATGAGAATCTTCTGCACAATGATCTTGGCATGACGAAGGTTTCTGCTCGGTGGGTGCTGCATCTTTTGAGACCTGATCAAAAGAGCACCAGTCTGATCAAATCACGGGAAAATATGTCAATGTTTGAGTCAGATCCAGATAGTTTTCTTGAACGTTTCCAAACTACAGATATATGTTGGGTTCGTCGCTTACAGCCAAATACAAAGATACAGTTCATGCAGTGGAAACACCCCACCTCACCTGCTCACAAAGAAGGCAATGACTGTTTCATCAGCAGGTAATGCTCAGTTTTGGGGGGGTACAAAAGGCATGTTGTTTATTGACTATCTGCAAAACGGCTACACCATAAATAGAGAGTACTAAGCCAAGTTATCAAGACCAAATGCTCAGGAAAACTAATAAAAAAAAAAAAAACAGGGTCGTGTTTCATCAGGACACAATTCTTAACATAGAATCAGTATGGCAGTGGTGATGACTTCATAGCTGCTGTTGATAATTTCTTACATCAACAGGATGAACAATCTTTCTTTCAGATGTTTGTTTATCCGAAAAATATATACATAATAACAGTTGAAATTGAATCTCAGTCTATTCATTTTCTATCTATCTATCTATCTATCTATCTATCTATCTATCTATCTATCTATCTATCTATCTATCTATCTACCCCAGTCTATTCATTTTCTATCTATCTATCTATCTATCTATCTATCTATCTATCTATCTATCTATCTATCTATCTATCTAAGTTTGTTTATTTATCCTTTTTGAATTCTCTTTCATTTATTCTATCTATCTATCTATCTATCTATCTATCTATCTATCTATCTATCTATCTATCACATATTTATCCGTCCATCCAATTTACTTCGTAAGAGATCTATCACTCTATCTATTTCAGTCAGTTATCTATCTGTATATTTCAGTTAATTAGCTATCTATCTATCTATCTATCTATCTATCTATCTATCTATCTATCTATCTATCTATCTATCTATCTATCTATCTATCTCATTAGGTTTGTTTCTTTATCCTTTTTGCATTCTCTTTCTTTTATTCTATGTATGTATCTATCTATCTATCTATCTATCTATCTATACACACACACACATACATATAAAGTAATAATATTTTTATCTTAAAATATTTAACATGGCTACATAAAAATTTCTGTTTCGGCATTAATTTTTTATTTAGCGATGTACAATAATTTTAAATAAAATATTATTACAAATATTTTGCTATATACCGTATCGAGCACTTAAAAAAAATATATATATATATATATATATATATATATATATATATATATATATATATATATATATATATATATCCCATTTTTACACGTGTGTATCTATTGATATGTGGGCGATTCAGATATCTCAGACTGAACAACTTTTCAAAATAAATATTCTGGTCATTGAAATATTGACCTTGGGAAGCGGGGTAAAGTAAGTACTTTTTTATCTATATATTGTAATCTTATATATTGAAAGGTTCCTTGTCTAACCCACTTATCTAAATCAGTATTACGATAAGAACATCTGTATTCTGATTTGGGAGTTGATAGATAGATAGATAGATAGATAGATAGATAGATAGATAGATAGATAGATAGATAGATAGAATAAAGAAAGAAAAAGAAAGAAAACGGGCAATTGTAATGAGATAGATAGATAGAATGAGGAAAGAAAAAGAAGGAAAACGGACAATTGTAATGAGGTAGATACATAGATAGATAGATAGATAGATAGATAGATAGATAGATAGATAGATAGATAAAAAAATACAGAAGAAAAAATTAGGAAAAAAAACGAAAGGGACAATTTCAATTAGTTAGATAGATAGATAGATAGATAGATATATAGATAGATAGATAAACATAATAAAAAAAGAAATGAACAATTGTAATGAGATAGATAGATAGATAGATAGATAGATAGATAGACCGACCGACCTTGTGTACGGACAAGGGCGTGGGAATAGTTTTAAATTGTGCCGTTGTTATCTCGATTTTCGAGGGTGTGTGTGTGCCCAAAAATGTATCAGCCTGACCAAAAAATCCCCCCCCAAAAAAAAACAAACAATTCTGATGTTTTAGAGGCTTGGACCGAAAACTTTTCAGCACCCGTTCGTACATATTAATAGAACGTTAGAGTCTCCCATTACATCGAAAGAGATCGATATTTTTTCGATAGCACGTTGCATAATGTATCCCATTCTTGCTTTATCGATCAGAAGGCCAACCTAGTTTTTTTTTTTTTGCCTGATAACAGTTCGATGACAACGACGCTTTTCTATTTCTTTACTCACCCGTCATTAAATTATGTTTAAATCATGTTCAACTTTTCTTTGTTCATCATTCCTGCTGACTCATAAACTCTAAGGATTGAAATAACACGCGCATTGTTGGACAACAATGATAACGACCTTCGGCCGTGTTGCCTACTCCAGTATTTCTTTTATACAATGTATTTAACATCCTCGACTGCTGATGGCACGCACTAATATTATTTTACATTATACTGTGTTATATTATGCTCGTTGTTTGCTTACGGCCATATGATGTTGAATACATCAGGTCCTCGCCCGATCACCAAAGTTAATAGTCACTGTTCATTGTCCATTTTTTTGGGTGGGTGGGGAGTAATCAAGGATAATAGGCGGGAAACTAGAATTAATTATACTATAATTAATACTATACTGTTATACACTTATTATGTATTAATACTATACTAAAAATTCCATTATAAAATTCTTTGTTTACATTTGGATACAGAACTGTGCAGATATGAAACGTTTCGGGAGATCTATGGTGAGAGTAGTTTTGCTTAAAGGCGCAAATTTGTTCTTAACTTACCTGATCGAATGTTCTTTGAAGCTCAGTTGGTTAGAGCGTATCGGATGTATCGGTAACTCCTTCTGTCCTGGGAGATGCAGGTTCGAATTCTGAGAGAGCCCATTTTTTTTTTTAAATAAGATTTTTTCGAACATTCAGTCCGGTAGACAAGAATAAATAAATATCAGTCAGTTATGTACCATGCGTGATACACACTTAGGCTATCATGTACCTTTACGATACATGACTGACGAGGCAGTTTTTTTCCGCATTAGGTTGCCATTTCTTTCTGCGGTAGGCCAGTTACCGTCCAAGACTATAGAACACGGTCTCTCCTGCTATTTACCTATAGCTGGTGGAAAAAAAGATTCATACCTTTCCCAAAGTTATTAACACGTAAGTGAATGTAATGTATTCGACTGGAATTCGAACTCGGCTCTCCGATTCCTCAATCCGAGCCAAATAGGCTGTTTCATAAACAAACGAAGCATCTACTCCAGTGATTTTCAACCTCGTCTCCAGCGCCATTCTCTTAAGTGTGCTGCGAAATGTTGCCACAATATACATATATGTGTGTATGGAAGTAGTAATTTTTTTTTAACCCGTATCACAGACAATACAGCCACTAGCACGCAAGGGGCTACAAGGTGTGTAAGAATTAGCAACAGAAACGTTAGTAATGAGGAGAAAGAAAAGAGTAGTCAGGACAGTAAATAGCAACTGACATTGCATTTAAATTTTTGCCGATTAAAGTTGGTTGGAAAGCATGTGATCGAGAGCAAATTTCACAAGTTAGAAGTGCGGGGTAAGAAACTGTTAGTATAGAAGTTCCGGCAACATTTAACTAGCTCAACTGTAAATTGATGTGATCTCTATTATTGCTCTTAAATTCATACAGTCTAGGTTCATCCGAACAATGGCCATGAAAGTATTTATAAAAAAAAAAGCTACAGAGAAGTAACCTTACGACAGTGGGCAAGTGATTGAACCCGAGCCACGAGGTCAAACCCCAATAATATTGTTGATTCTTCTTTAGATATTATCGAGGTGCTTCAGAATAATAGCAGACGCACCGGACCATATACGGCAGCAATATTCTAAGCATGGACGAATGGTAGACAGTGTTTGTATTTGACTAAATGAATAAGTATTAAATTTTTAATCCCACGCTTGCTAAAAAGGCTTTATCAGTTTTATTGTAATTTTTTACTTCTTATTTATGTGAATTATGCTTCTCAAACCTAAATAACATCAAAAATAAAAAAGACTACGCTCAGTTGAAGAAGAAATGAGGGTTTGTTTATCGCACAATCGGCCAAACATTAAAAAAAATCGTAAAAAACACTTGATAAACTGCACAAATAGTTGAATAGAAATAAAGTAACTTCATATTTGTGTGCACGTTTAAAAAATCTATGACTTTATTTCATAACATTTAAATGTATATCCTTTAAAAATTTTGCTAGGTATACCCTGATATTTTTGATTTCTCCGAGATGTGTGTTTGCTTAAAAACACTGCTCTACTCATATTAAAGTACCCACTAAAAATAACGTTTAAAGTGATAAAAATATATTGTACAATATAAATACTAATTTTTACAAACCTATAATTAATACCGAATTTTTAATTTAACTTTAATAATTATTAAAATATTTTATGGTGGACGTTAATTGTTTAATAATGATCCCAAAATACTTATATACAAAGAATAATGATTTTCTTTTCATATAGAAAATTGAATCATTTATACTGATTACATTTTGTGATATAATCGCTAAAGTTCTGTCCGATAAGCTTATTCACAAATCGCAAATTGTAAAACCATGTGGGTCTTGTGATAAAAAACAAACAGAACTGATAGCTGTCTAAATTTCTGAGATGAGGTATTATGTACATTATTTACATTATTCTGACTATTGTCCTCATCTTTGTCGCCATATTTATTACAACGTTTCGGCCGTTGTATACTCCGGTCTTCTTTAACCCAACCACCTGAAGAAGGCCGGGGTGTACAACGGCCGAAACGTTGTAATAAATATGGCGACAAAGATGTGGACAATAGTCCGAATAATGTAAATAATATAAAAAAACTGATAGCTATTAAAAAATAATAATTATTATCAACTTGAAATTTTTTTTGTACCACTTTTTCTACGAAAGCGCGTTTATATAACTTTTTTCAAAGCTTCTTGAAAGAAACTTTCGAAATTTGGGGGAATCACATTCCTTGGTTCCATAAGTCGAGACCTTCACAGTTGGTACTAGCCATACAATACCGCGTACGTTGAATCACCTCATTCCCATTCCATTTTTCTGTGTGGATTTAGTTCTACTCAGTTTCTTCTACAGAACTGTTGCAATGTAGAACGAATTCCAGAGAAGATTCATTCCTGATCACTACAGTGTTAACGTCTTCAAGTCAAGAGTTATTCGCTATCTTTACTACATAGTCTCATTATATGCAACCCTTGTTCACGCCTATACAAATTCAAAACGTCCTGATTCAGTAACACTCGAAAGACATAATTTTGACCAAACAAGACGCTATCGAGATAAACAGATGCCTACTAATAGGACGATGTTATTATTAATTTAAGTATGAATCTATATAAATAAAGCGCAGTGAACCTGTGTCTGTACGTCCGTTTTTCGATCTCGGCGAACCTGAAAAGCAACCTAAAGTAACAGATAATAACTACTGTAGTTCTACGCGATCAAAAATTAAATAAATAACTCATTTAAAGTTAAATTTAAGTATCGAACAGAGTTAAATGTTTTTAAAAAAATAATTCTTTATTAAATGTTTAACTTTAATTTCACTTTTCTTCGCTATTGCCGTTGGTATCGTTTAATTAAACCGTAATGAAATCTTATGTGGGCTCGGTACGTTGCTCGTAAGTTGTTTTTTGTTTTTTTGTTTTGTTGTGTCGTGGCACAATAGTAAAAATAAGAAAATCAAGTCGAAGTTGGTTTAAGGAACAAGTGTATTTAACATCACAGATACAAAGGTAGGAAACGGGTACTACTCAGCTAGGCAGTTGTAGTACTGTCGCTGTTTACACCGGGTAGGTATTACTGGCACTATATATAGTGAGAACCGGTGTAATTCCCTTGTGTTAGAGGCCGGTGCTTTTTTTTTTTCTAGCACGCGTTCTGTTACGTAATGGAAAGAGTTCGAGTTCCCTAATGTCTTTTAAGAGAGACTTTATATGAAGGGATCATAAAAGAAAATAACACCGGTTAACACAATTTTTGATGCCAAGAAACCAAACACTTTTTTTTAGCTAATTTAATGGT